GGAATCAATTCTTTCTCCTAATTTAAATGTTTCGGCTTCTTCATCAGCTACTGGGTTACATATACAGGTAAATTCTTTATCTTCATCCCCCTCCTTCACCCCATTCAAGACTACCAAACTCTTTCTTCAATTAATTTCCATAGAAATTTTCTGTCTTTATTTAAAATTTTATCTTTAGATTTTTCTGTGCGTTCTCCGCTATATTCCCTGCTTTTGTTGCCTATTTTGGCGTTAAAACCATCTACTATCAGAAGAAATTCTTCGTTAGACTCCTCAATTTTTTCTTAAATTTTTTTCTTCAAATTTTTTGTAATTCCAATGCAATACAATATGCAATTTCTTTTTTTCTTTTATCTTTCTTTCCACTATGCGTTCCACTTCTATTACCCGCTCTTCGATTTGTTTTATATCTTTTGTCACCCCTGTTATGGATCCCCCACTTGCTTCACCCTCATCTTTTCCTTTTTCCTTGTTCAATTTATTCCCCTTACTCTTTAGTATCCATGTTTCTGTTAATCACACAAAATCAAAATTTTATGTACTCATTAAATAAATTCTGTTTATTTTTCTTAATAATGCAATATTTCAAACAAGCAATTATAACCCCATTTGTCCTCCCCGCTTTTCTTTTCCATTCCCTCTCTATTTTTTTTTATAATTACCACCCCTTCTCTTTATGCTTCCTTGCTCAGTTAATTCCAACTCTCTTTGTAAAATTTTTCATCCAAATTTCCCTGTGTTCATTCCATGTCCTCAACTTTCCGTTTCTTACATTCTATAGCTGTTGTGTATCTTTTTTTTTCTTTCTTACTCTCTAACTTCTTTCTGAATTTTTGGCTCTTCTACTGTCCAACTGTTTTCAGTTGCTTTATATTTTCTTTAATTTTAGATAAATTTCCAACATTCTTCTGGAAATTACTATCTTCAAACAACTTCCCGTATTTATATAAAACCTAGTCATAATATTTGCTTTGTTAAGTAAATCATCTATGCAACCAACTTTTATACTTAACAATCTTTTCTCAAACCAAAATTGTTAAAATTACTGTTAAAAGATGTCACTGGATGTGCGTGAGTCCAAATGTTACGTTGAATGTGTGAGTCACTTCGGCCTCAAAAGCTACGGCGAGGCCGAAACTTCCAATTTGAGCCCAAAAGTATATATACGTGAGAGAATTTGAGGTCGAAAGTTATCATTAACATATATATAGATTTATAGCCATACAACATACAGCCATAAGTCAGAGAAAACTTGCTCGAGATATAATATAAAATACAACATAAATTTGTTCAAAGAAGTATGGACTTTTCGCTACCCAACGCTACCCCTTTCAAGACCGCTCCGATTTTTACTTACCGCGCATAAGCAAAGGAAGTAAGTATTGTAATCGAGTCTGTCGGCCGACTCTCTAATTTTACATTTTCTCGATCTTCCGTCTGTCTGCCGTCCCGGATTTTTATTAGACAGATAATCTCCGAAAGTACTAGGCCGATTGTTGTGACCTTTTGTACTTACATTAGGAATATCATGTAGATGGTAAAACGCTAACCAAAATTTGCCTAATCATCCTCACCAATAATGTGATGACGTCACTTCAAAATTGTACATAGTAAATGGGTTTTAAAATTTATAAAACAACATAGTCCTACACATGTAGTTTATGACTCCGAATTGAATTTTTACTCGAAACGTCCAGATTTTTGGAAAAAAAATCAAAATTTTGAAACAACATTTTGCAATTTAATTTGAAATCTGCAAAACCGAATGCTTTGAAATGTTGCAGATGGTTTACAGTTATGATAAGAATGATATATTTGTAATCAAAATATATTTACTTATCCCCTCCAAAAAATTGATGACGTCAGCTCAGAAGTTTGCCGAATAAACCCTATCTAAAATGTACAAAATATGACGAGTCTGTACTTGTAATTTATCATTCCATTCATATTTTTTGGATTTGCATATATGTACAGGTAACTCAAAGAAATTAATGAATGCGTAAATTTATTTTATTGATTTAAACGCCCTAAGATACTTTGTATTCAGGTTAAATAAATACTCTGATTCAGTAATCGGGTCTTTTACATTTGACGCCCATTACAGTGTAAATTTTAAATTTACTTAACAAAATTTTAAAATTACCTCGTTGAATTTTTTTGACTACCATTTACACGGTATTCTTAAAGCTTTAACTATTATCATGAAAAAAAAAAGTCAAGAATTAATTGTAATAAGACATCGAAACCAGATTTACATTACACAATAGATAAGAGAAAGTAAATTAGAGAAGATAAGAGAAAGTAAAATAAAAAAAAAAAGATCGTCAGGGAGGGGATTCGAACCAAGGCTTGTTTAAGAACCACATCTGGTGCCTTATAGCTCGGCTAACCTGACTACACCTGAAACCTAGATTTGAAACTTTAAAAACAAATAAAATTTTATTTTTAGAAATGATTTAAGTTAAGATAAGTACTTTTGATTAGATATCATTTCAAATGATAAGAAAATACAATGTGTTTGTGACATTCCAGTGAAGTGATTGTTATGCAGAATTATACATTTTTCTTTCCCATTAATATTAATATTCAATAATCTACCAGAGTTTACCTACACAAAACGTTTGGAGCACAACTGATTAAACTAATGTATTTTTTAGGCACATATCATGTTGCATTTCAAAGAAAATTTTGTAGCAGACATTTATTTAACAAAATTTTGAATACATAAAGTCATCATGTTTGAATAGGGGTGACAAATTTGGGTTAGCATTTTATCATTTACATGCTTCAAAATCATTTAAAATTTCACAGCAATTGATGGTCTATTTTCCATCTAGAAACGGGCGACCAACTTTTCCATAATCTAGAAGCTATGACACATTGAGAAACCATTAAAGTAGCTATTTGTCAAATGAACCCTATTACAATACCTCTATACCTTACGCGCGAGAAGTAAAAGATCAAATGACTATTTTTAATGCCATTTGACGTGACTAAGGCAGTTTGAAGACAATTTGATGAGAGTATATAAAATTCGGAAAAACGTTTAAGTTTTGCTCAAAGCGAGGGAAGGTAGAAGAAGTGTTCGAAAACGAATATATTGAAATTCTTTTATAACGATCTAAGGACTTTTATATGTTGTTATGTAAACTGAGTAAGTACCGTTTTAAAACGAGTTAAAAAGTCATGACTTAAATTATGTTTTTCCCGTGAGCTAATATTTCTGTTTTTATGATGAAAAAAATTGAAATTAATTAGGTACTGAAACCAAATTTAGATTACACTATAAAAAGTTAAGTCGCAAACGGTTTAAAATAAAAATATTGAGTGTATATTTCCTTTAAATTCTGAATACAAATTGGCGGTAATAAAGGTGTGATTGTACATTCATTACTATTTCTTTAACATTAATACAAGAAAATAAAGAAAACAAATTGTTAGGTGCGGGATTTGAACCTGCGCTCTCCAGTTGTTAAAAAAATTGCATGTTTTTCAAATTATGTGTGAAATTATATAATTATTTAATATTACAAAAGTCTGAAACAAAAATACGAAATTACTGTTCAGAAATCGGCACTTTAATTATTTCTACCAATCATAAAACAACGTATTACCTCAAATTTGTGTGTGGATCATTAATCTGTGATATAGAACTTTAGATTTAAGTTGGTATTTTAAATTAAATGATAAACATTGAACCAAATACGTATGTCTCAGGTTAACTCTAGCCGTGCACTTAACCGAAGATGGGGTATATTTTAATCTTATTATATTTTCCGCCTTAAAACTCTTAGACCCGGTTCACACAAGCTCAATTAAATATTTGATTGCGATTAAACTTTTAATGTGGCGTTAAAGTACCACGTGACCGATTAGAGTTAGCCATGGAAATATTTGTCATGTCTTTGATTAAACTGTAATATAAAAAACTTAAACTTGGAAAAGTTTATGCATGATTTTTACAGTTTAATCAAAGACATGACAGATATTTCTATGGCCAACTCTAATCTGAAAACTTTTTGATCAGCCTCTTTAAACTGACCGTTAATTATGCATTCAAAGAGATTGAAACAAGTGATGTTGCATTAAACTCTCACATCTCCCTATCTCTCAGTTTCTGCCTCTCTTTCACTTCTGTTGCTAAGTAACAACAATCGCTTCACTTAAGTGTCACGAACATTGTAGGAAAAGTGTGTTTTCTTATCATTTGACGCCATATCCAATTACAAGTACCTATGTAATTGTTTCGAAAAATAACATTTTGTTTGTTTTTGAACCTTCAAATTTATGCTTTAGATGTAGTTAGATTGGCCGAGCGGTCTATGGCGGCAGATTTAAACTCTGGTTCTTGAAAAATACTTTTTTTCTTAATTTAGTTTATCTTATCTTATTCATTGAGAAATAATTTATAATCAGACCCGTATTACTAATCATTTGTACCGAGAATTTGGAGGAAGTACACGCTCAGTCTTTTTGTGTTGAGCCTTCTGTGACTTATTAGTTGAGCGTCAGCTAAGGAACTATTGTAATAGGGTCCATTCGACAAATCGCTGTTTTCAGATTTCCGTCTGTCTGCAGTCCCTGTCAATTTTTATTAGACGGATATACTCGGAAACCGCTGCATCGATGTCAAATTTTTTATGTATGTTAGGAATATCGTGTAAACGCCCAAAAATTGGGTAATCATTTCCACCAATCATGAGATGATGTCATCTCCAAAATGTACAATAGTGAATATTATTTAAATTTTATGAAACAAGATCCTCCTGCATTTGTGGTTTATGAATCCGTGTTGAGTTTTTACCTTAGATATCCAGATTTTTGGAAAAAAAATTAAAAATATACTATCTATTCCAGAGGATTTATTTTGCACTAAATAAGAAAAATAAGACCCTTATATATAATAATAAACCCCTTCAAATATTATCTCGTTCCCCACCCTCCTCCCCAAATGAGTTTATGTAATCATTTAAAAATATTATTTTTTATTTAATTTACAGGTTGCTGACCAACAACAAGTTCTGGAACAAGCTGGTGTACCAGGCTTTTACGTAACGAAAAATGTGGTGGAAATAAAAGTACAGATGCACTTATTGGACTTCATGCTTAGATTAAGTAAAATGACTTTACCGTCATAAACTGAGCCATATAAATAGTACGGCTTACCTTATGCTCCCAAATGTAAGCATTTATATTATATGGATAAAACCGAATTAACTGACAAGTACATGCTCAATTTGTGAGGTATGTAGTTGTATTGATCATTTACTTAAAAAGCCATGTAGTTGTTATTGGAGTGTAATTTTTCCTTGCTATGTTTAATTCTTAAGTTATGGATATAAGATTGGAGACATGGAGGACAAGGTGGACAGAACTACAGTAAAAGCAGTATTAATTTTTTCTATTTATATAACATTAACAAATATACATAAAAAAATTCTAATAATTTAGAACATTAATCTTCTATTGTTACAATGTTTGTGAATAGAATATAAAACAAATGAGTCGTTTTATTTCTGCAGCTGACTAATCCTTAACAATCTCTTGTACTGTTGCGTTTAACGCTAGTTGTAGTTTCATTTTTAAAAATTGAACGATTTAGTAGTTAATTTTAAATGCCTAACAGCTTGGCACAAACAACGCAATGTCTTACATTTAAAAATAATACCTGAAGCACTACTTATGCGTTTTTCTTTGGAGTATTTGTACCATAGGACGAACCTTTCCCAATCTCGGACATTCCAATTGTTTTATTTAATAACAAATAAACTGAAAATAAACTTTGTACTCGTGGAATTCAAACAAACAAGCCAATACTTACAAGCTCCTATAATGCTAGCGCCAATGGAAAAGTATAACAGTTCTCCACTGAAAAGCAGTCTAATTAAATAGTATACCATTGGGCAACATATCAGGACGACCCAAACGGCAATATTTATTAAACTATTTATTCTACGTTCAATCTCAAACGGTTCTACCCTAGGAACACCCGAAGTTGCAAAAAAATCTCCTGTTTTAAGAAAACTATCTTTTAGCTTATCTTTCCTAATAAACATCTCCCTGAGAAATTCTTCTTGTTCGTGTTCAGTATCAGGCAACTCTTCTAACGGTATGCGCCTCATATACATATGAGCAGTTACAGGTTTGCCAAATAAGAGATCCGTTATTGTAGGTTTGTTCGTCTCTTTTTCATCAAAACAGATTTCGATGTCTAGCAATGCTGGAATTTTGCCTTTCATCGACGGCAAACTGGCAATGAAGCCTTTGGTTCTTGGAAGAAGGTGGTGCTTCAATTCTGGCAAATTTTTTTGGCGAGCGAATTCTAGAGAGATTTTGTGCTTGGTTGGAGTAAACCTTGTGCCTTCTGGGAAGAGTAGCAGCTAGAATATAAATTAAATATTAATAAAACAAAACTATGGGTGTTTAAGTAATTCTACGTTTGATGTTGGCTGTACGTTCTGAATATGTCTTGACCGTATTAACTTTTCAGTCGACTTTAAATTGACAAAGGGCGTAAACTGCATAATAAACAGCCAACTCCAAACGCGAAACTAATTGAACGCAACTTATATACCGAAATGACCTTCTTCTACAAGTATCGTAATGGTGAATGTTTACATATAATTGATAGGGGCCCGTTAAAGGTGAATCTCTAGAAGCAAACTAGCTATTTTTAATTTTTAGACCTCAGTTTTCAAGTGAAGTTTTTAGCATCTTTGATCGACGAAAAGTTAACAATTTATCTCCGATTGTCGTATTTAAAATATTATCATTAAGTACCATGATCAGAGGAAAACAGTTGTGCCAATAATCAAATCAGAGTAGAAGAATGGAGTAACAAAGTAAGTTTGAAGTTGCAGACAAACTGCGAAAAAAATGGACAACGAATTTCGGCTTCAGTTAAGGTGAAGATCACCTGTGAATTCTAAAATAGGAAAACAGAAGAAGAAGTCGGGTCGGGTACCAAGAGTCAGAAAAGAATAGTTTCCTTGATTCCTTTAATTTTATCGTATGAAAATCAGAATACCAAAACTAAGTTTGTGCAAAATAAATAACAAGTCAATAATATTGTTTTCACATCTTCAATATACACAACAGCGTTACAAGTCGCAGTTAAGTTTTTTTATTTATTTATTTTATTTTTTAAAGACTAAAAAGTTATCGATATTTTGAACAAATCCAATGATAAATAAATTTCAAAATAATGTATGTAATCCTACAAAGCATCAAAATATTCAAATGAGGGGTCACTCGACCCCACTTGCCATTTGAAATTATCGGGTGGGGAGCTACCGGGGTCAATGAAGCAACATAACAAGGTGATATCTGACATTAAAATGTGCCCCCCCCCCCTTAAAATTAAAACTGACTTGTTTTTGGATTTTTCGCTGAAATGCCTTATAAACAGTGGTCTCAGTTAAAACTCGGTGGCCTTATATCATGAAAACGGATAGAGATATTGTAATTCTGTAAACGCCACAGTTTTGAACTTGAAGGGGAAAGTTTAATTTATACATTGCAGAAATGAGGCATGTATACAGCGTCGATGTTACCACGAAAAGCATTTTTTTTATGCTGCAACGTTTTTTTTTCGGATTTTTGATGGATCGTCAAATTATAATTAAATTATTATTTAAGCGTTCAGACTTTAAGCAAACAAAACATCTCCTAACAGAGGACATCAAACCGGCAAACAATTGTGACAACTAATTAACAAATAATTAGTTACTTCAGTAAACAGAAAAAATTAAAAGCAAAACTCAAAGTTAAAAATAGGGGAATGTAATCTTATAAGATTAGATCAGCGAAGAAATTTGTGTTGAAAGACGCTAGTTAACGAAAATTTGGGAAAGTTTTTATTAATTTCACTAGAAAAGAATATAAGCTCAATATAACCAAGTCGAAAGAACTTTTCAATGAATTTCTATACTACCTCATTAGTACGAGTATAGCGTGGAAAAAGACTTGTTAACAATGATTAAGTATTTGGACAAGAATTGTAGAAACACTTTTAGACGATATTTATGAAAAAGAAAAGATATACTGATAAGACTTCTACAAGTTTCTCTCTATAAGAACTGGTGATTTTTCGAAATAGTAATTGTTTATGTGAAGATTAAATAAAAAAATGTAGAAGTCTAAAAAAAATTATGTTTAGAGAAATTAAAACCTAAACTTTAGCAATAAAGAAAAAAATGATCAATCCGTGCCCTAAAGTACACTTTATTAAAGCGAATCCAGTTTCCTGAATAATAAAAATTGTTTCTGCGATTTTTTTTGTGATAATTTCTATAACTTAAAATAAAAATAAAGGTGGATTATTAAATAATTACAGGTGAAGGAGCATGCAATGCGTATGCTTCACGACAGTTAATATTATTATTATTATCAAAAACAAATCAATATGATAACGGATTCCAGCTGAAGACAGTCGGATTATAGAGTCAAAGAAGTAAGTAGTACTAGAGCGTGAATTATTAAAATTTGTGAGAGTGGTTGTGCTTTAAAAAAGTTATAAGTAATTGGAGCGCATCCACTACAAAAATACCTCAGTCGTAACATCTTTTTTGATGGGGCCTGGGACCAACTCATGGAATTACGCACTCAGTAGGGGAAGAGGACCGACGTATAGAAACCATGAATACAGAGTCATATACCCCCTCCCTAGAGACACAAGATACTCCACTGAATACACACTGAATAATGAATCAGAATTTAATAAAAGACCTTTAATGTTATTTATAAAAAAACAGAATCAGGTAACAGACGCAAAGGAAGAAACACTTTACCTTTAAACAAGGTTTCTTTCTGTTTCAACTAAATGATCAAGTCGTTTTTAAAATACCACGTATGTAGCAAATAAACTGTACACGAGAAAATCTAAAAAAAAGACGTTCACAAAACTGAACTGGAAATGAAACTAGCTTTTGTTTTTCACTTGGTGTTTGTACCATTTGTTTGAACACTTTTTCCGCGTAATAACAGGAATTTAGGTCACTTGTGTGACAAAATGAGTTTTTAATAAATTCGCTTCAAAAATCTTATAAATTTTCTCATCAAAAAATATTTCTGAATCATAAAAGTGAATATACAATATGCAGGGTGTCTTCTTTTATTTGATACAACCTCTAACATAACATTTTTATTTTTAAAAATAAACCTATATTGATATTGATCAGATTTATATCATTTTAAAATATCTGTCTGATTCATTCTTTTCAAACGAAACACTCAGTATATATTTTTTTTTGTAAATGCAAGGTTTGCTTTTTTTACTACAAAATATACAACCAATATTCTAAAATCAATAATTAAAAAGTTATTTAGTAAAATGAGTCAAAAACTATCTATTTAATTGTATTCTAGTTGCTTGAAAAAAAGTGATTGACGTGTTTGAGATTTGTTACAAAAATATTGTTCATATTTTTGGAGCTTTATCATTGTTGGTTAAAAAATTAGTTTTCTTTAAATTTAATGACTCCGTGTCGGGTTTTTATTATTATTATTATTATTATTAAAGATAATTTCCCAACGGAGCAATCCATTAACAGGGAAAGTATAACAAGTAAATACGCAGACTTTAAAGAACTCAGATTAGACGATATCGACTAGATATTTTGTTTAACTTCGACACCAGAATCAAATAAAAAGAAATGAAATAAATTACAGACCTAAATATTATAAAATGAAAATAAAAATAGAAATAAAAATAGTAGATGAGAAAAAAAACACGTCTTACCAAAAACAAATAAATTAATTAAATTAATTTTTAAATTATATTCCGTATTCAATTAGAATGTTTCAAAATATTTTCAAATTTATCATTAAAATCACACTCTTTTGATATTTTATTATAACTATATCCTACACATAGAGATTAGGGGATTTTGCCGGAAACGTCCGGATTTTTGGATAAAAAATCAAAATTATAAAACAACATTTTGCAATTTAATTTTGAATCTGCAAAACCGAATGCTTTGAAATCTTGTAGATGCTTTAAAGTTATGACAAGCATAACACATTTTTTTTCAAAATATATCTACTTATCCCCTCCAAAAATCAATCCTGTCTTAAATGTGCAAAGTATGATGAGTCTATACTTGTGATTTATAACTGCATTATTTTTTTTTTGATTTGCTTATACGGGGTGTACCAAAAAAATTAATGACTGAGTCAATTTATTTTATTGATTAAATCAAGAACTGCAAAACCGAATACCTTGAAATCTTGCAGACGTTTTGAAGTTATTGTAAGCGTGGTAACTTTTTAATCAAAATGTATCTGTTTATCACCCCCAAAAAATGTATTACGTCATCTCAAAATTTTGGTGAAAAATCCTATCTAAAATGTGCAAGATATGATCATTCCACACTTGTAATTTATCATTGCATTCATATTTTTTTTAGATTTGCTTATACAGGTGGCTCAAAAAATTAATGAATGAGTCGATTTATTTTATTGATTAAATTTGGAACGACTAACCTCATTTTCCCAGAAAATTTTGCGAATACAATACTGTTGTTTTTCAATTTCCATTTTACACTAAATAAAATAAGTCACTGAAATGGAGAAAGGAGGTGGGCGGAGCTAAATTTAGCTTTCGCTAGTTTTATGAGCAAGCACCCCTTCTTCGTCCCAGTGATTACTCTTGATATTCTTTAGACCTATCTTAACAAGTTTTAGCCCCGCCCACCCACCCTTTTTTTTTCTTGAAGGATATGTCATTTACCAACATCAATCTTATCTTAACAAGTAGGGGCAAGTGGTACATAGTGGGACGCGGTACATAGTGAGATTTCTTGTATAACACAAAATTTAATCGAAGCAGTGCAACTAGAATTTTAAGATTCAGTTCTACAACATCCTAGTAAACGTGGGTGATAACGCAGTGGTTGCCATTTAAAAGTATTTTTGTAATACACCAACTGATTTCGGTAAGAACTGTTCTGTGTGTGGTTACGAGAAACATGTTGATGGGCGTATTTTTGTTCAATATACATGAAATTCTTGCAATTTTTCGCCATAACTTCAAAAACATGAATCTAAGCTAGTGCATGTGTTGCAATTCATAAGAGCCCTATCACTTTAATAAAATCGTACCTGATTTTCATTTATGCATGACGGTATTTACTGGGACAGTCTGGTATATAGTGGGACAATTATACTTAACTTAAGCGTTGTATCATATATAACTCTGAAAAAAAAAATGTTGGTAGGAGTCCAATATGCCCAAATATCCAAGGAGAAGTATGGCAAAAAGGTTTCTCGAAAGTCAATTGCGTCTACGAGAAAGCAGAGAGAAAATACGTAATGCCGTCCATGAGGTATTTCAAGAAATATGACTATACGACAAGCAGCAGACCAGTGTGAAGTTAGTAAATCTGCTCTTCATAGGAAAATTACGAAATATAAAAGTTTGGAAGATGAAGACAAGGAGAGATTTAATTTTTCCCGAGAACATGGTTTGAAATGCGTTTTTACTACGGAGGAAGAAACTCTTCTAAGACAATATTTGATTGAAGCTGCGCAAATGTGCTATGGTTTGAGGGTTTGACACTCAAATCAACTCGGGAATTGGCCTATAGATTTGCCGTAGCAAATGGAAAAAATGTGCCACAATCATGGGAAAAAAATAAAATGGCTGGAGTGGAATGGGCTCACTGTTTTCGAAAACGAAATCCCGATCTTGCACTTCGTACTCCAGAGGCGACTAGTTTGAGTAGAGCGACTAGTTTCAATAAACATAATATTGGGCAATTTTTTACCAATTTACGGGAAGTGTTGGGCAAATTTAATTTTCAACCAACACAAATCTTCAATTGTGATGAAACAGGTATTACAACTGTACACAGACCCCCTAAAATACTAGCATCATCTGCCCAACGACAAGTTGGGAAAGTTACTAGAAAGAATACAAGAAAAGGCAGAAAGAAAGCGCAGTCAACAATTATTTTAACTGATACACCAGTTAAAAAGAAAATTGAAGAGGAACATCGAATAAGATTATTAAAACAAACGAAGAAGTTGCAACCTAATAAGGTAAAGAAGAAGGTATTTGAGGAAAGTTCAGATTCTGAAGACGTGAATGAATAGGAGTTTGCGAATGATTCTACAGACATGGAGAGTTTTACAGAAGAAGAAGATTTCAATAACAATTTAGATGAAGTTTTGGTAGAAGATTACATTTTGGTTAAATATGCTACAAAAAAGACTGTTCGGCACTACGTTGGACAAGTAAAGGCAATACGAAATGAGGAGTTTGAAGTAAGATTTAAAAAAAAATTACTTGGTTCTAAATTTGTTTTTCCTGACAAAGATGACGAAGACTTCGTTGACAAGGAAAACATAATTCTAAAATTGCCCAAACCATTTGTGTCCGGTGCGACGCAGAGTTCGATCCGACAACTTTCGTTCAATTTAGATCTTAGTCAATACAACCTTTTGTAACTTATATGTTCCTTGTACATTACTAAAAATATATATTATTCTTATAAACTTTTTGTGTGAGTAGATTTGTTCATAATGAGTTGCGTTTGAATAGTCCCAGTATATACACTGTCGTTTCCCACTGTATACCACCCGGTGGTTTATTATGGGACAAATGGTACATAGTGGTATAACTTTTTTTTTACGTTAAAAAATTTGTTTTTTAAGTTTTGGGGGTTGATTACATTACCCGACACCGTTTACCTAACAGTAAAACAATATATGATTTGAAAAAATCTAAATTTGCCAAAATTATGAAGAAAAGTTTTTTTACGTCCCATTTCGTACCACTTGCCCCTACTAGATCCCCCACCCGCCCTCTATTTTCTTAGAGGGTACGTCGTTTGTCACAATCAGTTTCATGTTAGCAAGTGCAAGCCCCGCCCACACACGCGGTTCTCATTCTAACGATTTTATCTTTCTTCAATTGAGATCCACCTTTCACTCGGACTAGACAAAATGAATCACTGAAATGGGGGCGGAGTGGGTGGGGTGAATAATTATATGTTCTTTTGTAAAGTGAGAATAGGAACTAATAGAACGTAGGCTGTTAAAAAAAGCGTTAATCGTAATTTTTTTGTTATACTACTTATTTGCTATAACATTTATTTGTTATTTCTGAAGAAAAAAAAATGAGAAAACGGGTAGGTGGGCGGGGCTAAATTTAATTTTTTCCTACAGAATCTTTTATAAGCAACCACTAGCCCCGCCCACTCACCCCCTCTTCATTCCAATGATAATTCTTAATATTGTTCAGTCATTTACCAAAATTAGTATTATTTTAACAAATACACGTGTCTTTGCAAAAATGTTAATGACGTCATCACAAAATTGTGCAAAGTAAAAACTCAACTCGAAAATGCTGGATATGTTTCATTGTACTTTAGGTGCGAGGGAAGTTCTGTCGAAACAACTTTCGACCAATTTTTTCTAGTTTATTATTAATTTTAGAATATTTTTAGCGGTAAAATGCAAAACGATTCATTTATTTAAAAATATACTGGGTGTTCCATTTAAAAAATATACAGTTGATTTCATTTTCGGTGTTACTGAAAGAAAACATTGAAGAATGTATTTACCAACAAATATATGTTCTATTACGAGACAAATTTGTTCAAAGAACAAAGGACCTGTCATCAAAAATAAAAAAATTACAGGGTTTGTATCAAATAAAAGACACAACCAAGCTTTAATGTTTTTGATTTTTTGTTAGGTTGGCAACATCATTAAAATTTTATGATGGCATACCCAATGTCAAATTCAAATTTTGGGCACCAATTCAGTAGTTGCCCCCTTTTTACCGGTTTTTAGGCCTGCTCATGTCAAAATTTACAACTGTGAACTGACATGCTAACATTGCTACTTCAGAATTGCCAATCCAAAAATTTGTTTCAATCATTTCACCCGGTAGTTTCATTATAAAATTTTAAGTATAGCAGGTATCGTAAAATTTGAAAAATTAGTGTCCACTGTGACAAATAATAATGACAGGATTATGGTGAAAAATACTTAAAAAACTCTTAAACGTATTTCAATTTACTCCTCTCATATCAAAATAAGTCTTTAAAACAGATAAAAACAAAGTGTGTGCCAAGTACGTTAATTACAAAGGACAAATAATAAAAATACCGGGTGATTATTAATAATTGAAGCAATTTTTTTTGTCTGCATTACTGGCATCCATGCTAATACGTCAGTGCACAATTGTCAATTTTGACGTGAGCACGCCTAACGAACGTGGTGGTTGGTTGAGACAGTCACTCGGTATTTAACCATGATATTGAATTACTCAAACAAAAGCAAATGAAAACAATTTTGAATTCAAGTCAACAAAATTTTACATTTTATTGAATAAAAAAAACTCATTTTTATTCACTAACTGCACGCAGCAACCTTGTGTTTATTATTACTGCATTGGCATTAAAGTTTGTTGGTAGAGATAAATTATTATCTTTTCGCAATTTTAAATATGCATACATTTAATGCGTCAATCAAGCATGGAAATTCTTTTAGAAACTTTAAATGAAAAATTTTACATTTATTTCTTATGTGTAATTATGCATAAGGCATGACTTTTGTTAATTTACTTTTATGTTTCTCTTGTGCGTTTTTTCAAGACTGGATATAGCAAAGATAGCTTTAGTGTAATCAATTTCAATTAACAATGCTTAATTGTTCCTTACGCATAAAATTTTGAAACAAGTAAATTTCATTGTTACCTATGTGTACTGTGTACTACAGCCCATTTTAATCAATATAACTGAATCATATTTTTTTATCTTGTACACACCATAGACTGTCAATAAAAGGAGATTCAAACAAGAATACAATGAAGTAACGTAAATGATTCAGTGTTTAAAGTTGACAGGAAGTTATAATAAAACAAAAATATATTGTGGCTCTACTAAGATTGAATTATTTTTTCACCATCTGTTGATATCTTTAACGTAAAAAATATTGATTTTAGTCAATATTACAAACCTAAAAAAAAACACATTTTGTTTGCAGTTAAATACTATGGACTCATTGCTTGAACAAATCTTTGAAACATTGGGTGAAAGTCTATGATACATGCTATTTGTACTGACCACGGTGGTAGAAGTAAGGTGTGGAAACAAGCCGCTCCAATTTGTTGAATAAAACACGCATCCCAGTAGGCTTATTTACTACGAAATAGTATGCAGCACAGTATGTCCATCTATGTATTAACATTTCAACTTGTCCGTGTATTTATGAATGAAATAAGTGACAGATTCGTTGGAGGGAAAATAAATCACAGCACTACGGTTTGTGGTTGGTCTTTGGTGTGAATCGTGTGATTGGTAGATGATTCGACATTTGTGATTGGGTAATAAATGACATTGGCATAAATGTCAAAGATTTAATACAGTTTTCTATTACTTAATTTCAACTGATCTCTCCAGACGTCGCTGCGGTGTGGACAGATAATGACATATAATCCAAACCACGCGATTTGTGTTTTCTACCAATGATTTTGAGGAAAGTTATGAATGAGGTTTCCACACCTTACTTCTACCACCGTGGTACTGACACACAAAAATGCTTACAATTATAAATATAAAATTTACTTGGTTTTAGTTCTGATGTACTTGAACACAACACTTGAAGAGTGATGGGATTTTAATGTGACTATTACTAGATAAAACACGAATGTCAATATTTAAAAGATAAACACCCAAATAGTAAAGCAAATAATGTTATTGTCATTGATAACAATCACAGCTTTTTATAGCATGTTGTTATCATACAAATGAACCTATTGATTTTACCTCTGATAAGCTATTAAAGTAAATAACCACTAAATATAATAAATCAAAAACTTTTAAGAAAACCAACAATAGATAACTTACCCATATTGGATCTGGATGTTCCGATAGTTCAGTGATTTGTGAACTTATCACTCTCTTGTCTTTTTCAAATGATCTTTCAAGAAAAACAAATTCTGCACACTTCCACCCCCATCCCAACACAGGGACATATTGTATAACTTTTTTGGCATATGCTTTACAATTCTAAAAAAATATCTATTTAGTAATTTACATGTAAACACTTGTACTTACCCCTAAGAGATGAATTCTATCACAAATCATCCACCCGACTAACCAGTCAATTTCATAACTGTGATTCATTACACAATAGGCATGTTCTTTACCATAATATCTATCAAATTCTTCTCTATCAATATAAAACTTTATACGAGAACCGGACCACCAATCTCCCAGAAAAACTAATTCTGTATCAGAAAGTTAAGATATGTTAAAATTTAAATTATCTGTACTTACGTGAATATATTGTAAAGCAAAAATACCAGTTTAACTTCCTATAGAGTCTTTTATTAAATGGCCTTAACACAAGATAAAACAGACACTGGACTAGGTTCACAATCACGCCCGATGTAAAAAATGTAATGGCAAAACATAAATGAAATAGTCTTGACTGTTTTAATTTCGAAAAATCCATGTTTGGCTGCCTGTTGTCTTGCTAAAACCTGTAATAAATAGAACATACATTACACTACACCAACTATATATAACTGTATCTACATAAAAATACAACCGTATGTAAGCGATAATGAATTCGAGTACCTATTGTTAATTTTACACGTTTTCAACTAACTCATTAAACAATTTTAAATGCTCATCGTTAATAGCCTAACCTTGACAAAAGTGTGAGGTTAACATACCTTCAAAATATATCTTCGAGTACTTCGAGTTTCAAACACAATTCAATTCGATTATTTTCATGTTTTATATAAAATCCTTAAAATAATACTAATTGTTTGAAAAAATCGACACGAATTCTCTGGACGAACCCACCTCTCTCGCTACGTCCGTTACAAATGTATTTTTGTGCTGTACGCTTTCTATATTCTTGATAGCGAAGGTTTTAATTTCCATGAAATATTCGAAATTGTATTGGAATTGTAACACTAACATTAAACACGCATGATACCATTGGATGCAAAGTCCAAATAGGTAATTGATAATGGACTATAGAAAAACATGTTCGAGGGTAATATTGCCTGCCATAATTCAAGATTCCATCACGATTGCATACAGTTTGCGATTTTTGTTAAGAGCATTAGGGGTTGTCTGTCAGTATTTTAGCCATACATATTTTTCTTATCAGTGGACGTTTATCTTTCAATCTTATCAGTTACAAGTATTAGAATTAGATGGTCTGCGCATAATATAAAACAGACAATTGAAATTGGAGTGAGTAGATACCTTCGGACCGTGACCACCGAAAGTGGCCAGTGGCGTAACTTCAAATGGGATGATAGGTACTTATTTTATTGAGAAATATAATTTTAAACAGTCACGGGAAGATGTGAATGGAACATATTTAAAAGTTTATTTTGATTTATAAATCGAGGCTGAAAAGTACACTCACAGACAAAACTTAATAGCAAAGAAACGCCATTTGTGTCAAAATTTTCAAGAGATAACACATATTTTACACGTATTCTATTACTCTATTAACTAGTTATTTTATTGACCAGCTAGTTACTCTCTTGAAAAATATTATTATTTAGATTTATTATAATATGTTTTTCTAGATTTTCCATTTTAAATCTTCGATCACTTAAAATATGTGAAAAACTACGCTCTAAAAAAAAATCTACAGGGCATATTTAAGGGACGACACAATTTCAGGGTCTATATTTACCTCATCTGAAAACTGTCGATCTAAAACTTTTGCCACATTAGTTAGTCTAGTAAAACCCCCATTTTTACTAAGGACTTCGTCTATTTTTTTTGAGACTGTAAGCAATAGGACCTTGTGCTTTATTGATATATATATATTTTTATTTTCTATTATCTGGACGGATTCACTTAGGGGTACTTTTTGTTTTCGTAATTTTGTTAATGTTACACCAATTAATTCGTATTTGTTAGTTATGAAACTTAAGGTCTGTTTTAATTTAGGACTATTTAAAATCTTTTTAGCTTCCTTGATTTCTGCAGATGAACTATCATTAAATTTTGACATCTTACAGGAATATTTGAAATAAAATAAAGCTGCGTGAAGCCATGTACCCCATCGTGTAATGACAGGTTTAGGAGGCAATGGTACATCTGGTAGTGTATCTTTATATACTTGTACTCTTAAAGGAGCCTTAACAAAAACCTTTTCATGTTATTAATTCATTCATTTACCAATGGAAAATGATTTCGTGCTTCTTCCGCTATTCTGTTGACACCGTGGGCGAGATAAGTGAAATGAATCAAATTTGGGTAAAATACTTGGTTCCAGCTTTGACCATATCTGACGCAGCATTAGGAAGGATTAATACGATTGTATTTAATGGTATAGCATTGTGTAAAAATATGTTAAACTTTCTTGGACAAATCTACTTAAAGTTACATTATTCGCACTTTCTCATTCTTTAACAGCAATTAAATAAGAATCTGACACTAAGTTTGCAGATAAAGTCCCAACTAATAAATTTGCTGTATATCTGCTGGATACATCTGTTGTTTCGTTAACAACAAAGTAAACAGAGTTATTTTGCGAACGTGTCTTAATTTTAGCAACAGTTTCGGTATAACATTTATCTACAGTTGTTTTCCTGAGAGTGCTTTCGTCTGGAATGGTCCTTTTACAGTATTTTTCCAAAAATGAATTAAGTGTAAAATTACTTAACTTATTTAATGGAATATTCGAGGCAAGCATGGCCTGGCATAAATCGAACTTGAATGTTTCCTCTTCATTTTTGGCTGTATTAGTAGATAAAGTTTCTCGTATTGATGTTTGAGTTACGCTGGTTGAGTTTCTTTTTTCACAATTTCTTTTGTGAAGAGGCGTTCTGCAGTGTTGGTCTGTAAGATGTTTCTTTGTACTTTAAATCTATAAAAAAATTGAAAATAAATAATTATTATTTATGTAAGAGATATAGTAGCCTGCATAGATATTGTAGCCGTCCATAGAGTCGAAATTTGCGAATAAAAATAAAATAAAACCGGTTCAAACGGAGCCGACGGTGGCTTGCAAATTCTGACATCACTCTGGCACACGTTGCACAGAGACGTATTTAATATTAAATGTCATCTTTTCCGTTATGATATAATCTGTTTCATTTCTTAGCTCAATCTCGTCAATAAAAACGAAGCTCTGTTCACTGTAAACAAGTTGTGGTATGGTATATTCATCGTTGCGGAGGTAGGTGGAGCGAAAAACCTGGTCATCTTAGCAGCAAACGCGGGTATAAACTAGTCCACGTGGACTGTTTGTTTCCTGTCATATTTTAGTTTGCTTGAACCAATTGCGTTGCACCAAACGGTTATTACACTTGTTGAAATACATTTTCACACTTCCATCTTTCTCTAGATCGTGGGTTTCGTAGCTGTGTGACAAATCGTTTGTCGTAGATAGAAAATAGTAAGATTACAGTGACCCTAAGATTTTGTGCAATCGGTCTTAAATACGCCCCTGTGTGATGCCACGCGTGCCGTAGTGACAGAACTTGCAAGCCGTCGTCGGCTCCGTTTGAGCCGGTTTTATTTTATTTTTATTCGCAAATTTCGACTCTATGGACGGCTACAATATCTATGCAGGCTACTATACCTATCATTGAGATTGCATTATATGCAAAACATATTTTTTTATTTGGTTCTTTAGACATTAGTTTAAGGATTGAAAATATGTTTTAAAAAACTTTTTGCTTTGCCGCAAGGTTTGTAAAAAACATCATCACCATCTAGAACCAACTCTGAGCAGGGCCGAATCCACGATGATAGTTTGGAAGACATTTTTTTAATCATTTGTAATATCACTGCTCTGTCGCTAAAGTTCCTAGACGAATGATGAATGAACTTGGAAATCGAAGCATGAAATACTTACAAATCCATTCTAGGTTTTTCATCACTTCCAACCCCTCGTTAAATAAATTTGCAGAACTATCAACATTTTCAACATCCGGCTTAGAGGCGTTAAGTAAAAAATTCCTAACTGGGGGTGCCCATAAATGAAATCTTGGAAAAACCCGTCCGCATCACTAGAAAAGATTGGTACTTATTTACCTGCATACTGTCGATATATAACCACCCAGGCAACATGATGTCGTCTTTTTCACGCGAATAAATGGTCATCAATTACATCATAGTGACCAAAGATTTCACGTGATATTGACGTACCAATGACGGTCAAATGTCTCGTCCAGATGACGTCATTTTCTAACGAACTATTGACGTGGTGTACTGACGTCTTAGAGTTGTCATTTTGTAACGAAATATTGACGTGATGTACTGACGTCTTAGAGACGGCATTTATTGTCCATTTTAAGACGTTTTCTATATTTTGATTTTTAGAAAAAAATGTGCAATAAATAAAACGCTGAAATAATTTTATATTTTTATATTGTTTCCCTTAAATAAAATATAATTCGTTATAATCACCAGGTAAACCCCAAAACAAAATATATATTAATTAAAGTTAAAACAAATTAGTGTAAAAAAGTTAAATTTACTACAATTCTGTATAACCAACAATGAACTTCAATAAACAAATAAAAAAATATGTCAATTAAACAAATTAAAGATAAACCACTCCTAAGAACACAAACAAATCTACATACAGGTAATTACTAGTATAATTAGTTTAAACAAAAAAAAAGGATAGTATACAATATATAATCAAAAATAAACGTTGCTATAAAATATGCTATTTAAAGAAAAATCAGTTTTAAAAACACAAAGAAATCTATTTAGTTACAAAGAATATTAAAAGAAAACTATAATAAACTATAAATCAGTCTTAAAAACACAAACAAATCTATTTACAAAAAATATAAAAAAAAACTGCAATAAATGGAAAAGACAATTGAATCGCATTGTTGAAGTTACTTGATTTGAAAATGCACTGTAAAACTTTCTAATTCAAGACGACTTGACTGTCCCCAACACACAAAAAAGTACCGTTAAGAATTAATTCCGTTTTAACAATCACATTAATGTAGTATTACAGGCATCTACCTGTATATACTATCCAATATTATGTTATATGTATATATGAATTTATTGTATTTTTTTAACTTACAAAGAAATCTGCTTGTTCTAATAGGCAAAGAATGCAAAGATAATCTTGTAATTCGTCAAAATTTGTTTAGGTGTGGTCTTGGCGGCATAACTTCTATTTTTGTTTTCTTTTTCAGTTGTCAGATTTGATGATGTTTCCATGTTGGAGATTTTTTCACTCGTTTTCTTTAGCATTTCTTTCGTTTCGCACATGTGTTTTGTATTTGTTTCAAATCTAGAATAAAATTATGTTCATTAGCATTAGTTCACAAAAAATTGCAGTAACATACCTTTGCAATATTTTATGGCGCCTTATTTTCAAAAACAATCACCGTAAGTTCTTCATAATCAGTGGGAGTATCTTCAGTGATTAATGGTGGTCTTTCCAGCTTATCTGAAAAAACTGCTTTTGTTATTTACGTACAGTTATAAAAAATAACAGAAACACGTAAAAATTAAAATGATTACTTTATTAGATATTACTTACCTAGTGTAAATAAGTACAACCCACACTGAATGGCAGAAATTTTCACAAAACTGCGTTAAAACTGAAGTGAGTAAAGGATACACGAGAAAGTTTCGGTGGTTGAGAACCAACTGGAAATATTGGGATGCTTCACTGTGAAGTGCAATAAACATAAATACCGAAAAAAGGGAAAGTCCGAATGCACACCTCAAACATCTGATGTATTGTATAGTAAATACGGAAGTTGAGCATTATTTTTTCATTAGATGAAATAAATTCAATAAAACTAAATTTTAAATCACTCTCTAATTTTTTTGGTAACCATCATCACTTTATAAACATCTTTATAAAATCAACGAAGGAATTCTTCAAAACCTTATTCCGTTTTGGGAACAATGGACAAAGAATTTTTATTACTTTATTTGTGTCGTAGAGTCTTTTCACTATTATGCGCTCAACCCCGGATGTTCTATTTATAATTTGCCAAGCAGGTACTTACAAAATAACACTTCCAGAGTAAACAAGTTTTCAGAAATAATTATTTTATTAGAAATTATTAGAATAAAAAAATTTGTCTTTGGTGTATTTTTAATAAAACCGTTGTATTTTTTGCTCTAAATAT